GAACTAGAGCTTCTGGAAACCATCATATAACCAGGAGGAACCTGAGAATAAAGTCAACATGAAAATCAGAGCCATTAGAGACTGGATTTTGGTGACATTATCTGAAATCTTAGATCAAGTTAGTCTAAAGTTACCGAGTTCTATCCTGGGATTTTCATTACATGAGCCAATTACCTGCCCTTTTTTTCTTAAGTGAGTTTGAGGATTTTTTTGCTATCGAATATTAACTAAATGTGATAGAAACTTAATCATATTTGGACAGTAAGACATCTAGAAATAACATACATTCTATGAGAGCCTGGCATGGCTACAATGCTAATATTTGTGAAGATGTCTTACAGATCAGCTGGAGGGCTCGGGAGTGTAGCTCAATATAATCATTCTTGCTGGGATGTTAGCTTTTTACATCTCTCTCCAGATAGAAATTGTGTTAGTTTCTCAGGGTCACTATAACCAATTTAACAGCTGAAAACAATTGACATTTATATTATTTCATGTTTCTGGAGGCCAGAAGTCCAAAATCAAGGTGTCAGCAGACCAAACTCTCTCCTATGTCTCTAGGAGAGAATCTTTCCTTGCCGCTTCCAGCCTCTGATGGTTCCTAGCATTGCTTGACTGTGGCAGCAAAATTCCTCTGTCTTTACATGGACTTTCTCCCTCTGTGTCCTTTTCTGCTTCTTGTAAAAACAGTCTCATTGGATTTGGGTCCACTCTAGTCCAGTATGATTTCATTTCAATCCTTAATTATACCTGCAAACACTCCATTTCCAAATAAGGTCACATTCTGAGGTTCTGGATGAACATGAATTCTGGGTGGGCACTACGCAATCCACTACATAAACACAGCATTTTAGTATTAACCATAACTTGTTATAAAATTTCATATCATTGAATTATTTGTACATATTGTTTGTTAATACAAATCAGTAGCATTCTTTTAAGATAGAGCTTAGTATTTTTACAATACTTGGCTCTTAGCAGATTATTAGCTGAACAGATAGATTAATTAATTGTGAATGAATCAATACATTTACTGCCCAAATATTTCATCCAGTACTTTACACAAGGCACAATCCATAGATTGACATTCAATAATGTCAAAATTAAAAACATTTCTAAAACTACACAATGCAGAACAAAACCACTAATAAATCAAAAATTTTAAAGTCTTCAATAATTACAGTGTATTTTAAACAATAGAAGCATTCTTGCATAGCTGTGAAAGGCCAAATCATAGTTCAAACCCAATGGTTATTTGATTATCACAAACACTTCTGTATTCTGTACTAAGACAGATTAATGATTATTCCTAGTGTAATAACTTTTAAAATTTAGATTTCGAAACATGGCGCTTTCTTTAAAAGTGGGGCACATCTCCATAATTGTAAAGTCAAATTGGTGAGTCTTGTTTTGCATTTTATAACTATGCCAATTTCATGTAAAGGTACGACCTCTAAAACATGGCCATTAACCTAACCACCTATTAGAAAGCCTACACATGAAAGTAGATTGCAGCTCAGGAGATTAAACCCTCAATTACTAATTATAGTTTTAAAATCAAGATAGGTAAAGTAAGTGTACTTAGATAGTTGGGTACCAACTGGAAATGATTGTAAAAGTGTCTCTCTGTGTGTGAGGCAGATAATTTTTGTGTACATATCTCATTAGCATAGTTTCAAGTTTTAATAAATGCTATTCAAATGTTTAGGCATATAGTATGCACATAATAAAAATAAAAAGTTGACATCTAATAACTCATTCAGCAAGATCTTTGTAACACATTTTACTTATTCTTAAGTTTCTGTAGAGAAGTGCACATATTTTGATGTTAGGTTTCAACAAATCCAATTTAATGCTTTAATTCACCTCAAAATTTGGCTAAATGAGCTGGTATACAAACTGCCCTTTAAACAGAAACACTATGAAACACAGATTTGAACAATAGGTCTGGTGAGTATCTATCTATTGTGGCAATGTGAGCAGCAAAGTGTTCTGGGATTGATTGTAATATTAAAAGTGTTATTGAAACACCAGGGGTTTGGTCTAGGTCCTGCTGCTTCCAGCCCAGAAAGTCAATGACTGAGACCATGATTTCTGCCAAGGCAGAAGGTTTCAATCAGTTGCTGCAGCTGAAAAGATGGGAGATCAGTCTCAAAGCCACCTTCCTGATAGCTAAAATTAGGGGTTTATATATCAGGGAAGAAATGCAACAATGTGTAAGAAAAAAGTAACTACGGAGGGACAAGGAAGCAATCAGGATACATGAGGGGCCAGGCTTTCATTGTCTTGCTGAGATGAACTGGTGAGTTTCAGTTCTTAGATATTTTTTGAGAGGTCTACTGAGCCTTTTCTAAGGAAAGAACTCAGATGAAACAAAGGTAAGATTTAAGACCAAAAGGGTCAATTTCTATCATTGGGTCTATTGAGTCAATTTCAAAGGAGCAACCACTATCTGGCTTCAGGTTCATTTACCACTTAAATGTCAATTTACAGCTGACCCTCTTCATTTACCCACCCCACCCTGGAATGTAAGCTCCATGACAGTAGGATTTCTTGTGCTTAGGATAGAGCCTGACACAGAAGATATGTTCAATAATATTTGATGAATTTACATCAAATCTGCATCTCCTACATGGACCAGTTTAAACAGCTTCAGGTCTAACTTTCAAACAATCTTATGAACATCTTTACCTGCGCATTCCTCTCACACTTCAAACTGAACACACTCCAAACCAAAATGCATTATTTCCCCCCACAGCCTGTTTTCCTTGTATCCTTTAGATCGGCACCACCATATAATAACTAAGATGAGATGAGTCAGCTTCTTAGGTAATAGCAGACACCTTTTCCTCACCATCCCTTCTGAGATAATTTAGGTAACTGTCATCTTTTAATTTAAAGGATTGCCACCTGTCTTACTACTGTTTTCAAACATCTTTGAAAATGTTTTTTCTCCTAAAACACAATTCTGTTCATACCAGTCCTTCTTTATAATAATCCCAGTTGCCTGTGGGAAAGAAACTAAATTCCCCAGCATCTACCAGGCCTTTCATCGGTGCCGACTTCTCCCGCCTGATCTGTCTCTCAATCTGCAGATTTTAGTCATTCAAAATGAGTATTCCCAGAACATTTCATGTGCTCTCACATCTCTGGAACCCTGTCTTTGTTGCTCCCTCTGCCTGGAAAGCAATTCTTACCCCTAGTTACCCCTCCCTCCTGGCAGTCTTAATTCATCCTTCAAAATTCAGCTCCTTTCAAACGTCTGTCACCACTCTCCAAGACTGTTAGGGGTTCCTTCTTTCACGGACCTCTACAGTCTTCCATTTGGCCTTTGCCATGCTGCTGAGCACTTTGAAGCCTGAGACTGTTTCCTTCATTTCAGTTTCTTTAGCAAGCAACAGTACATCTCATTGCTTTTATCGAGTGAAGGAAGAAATAAATCCTAGAGAGAGATGTCATTCCAGTTCAATGCCCATACTTCACAGTTGGAGAATTGAGGCCCAGAGAGGAGACATGATTTGAGAAAATTAAAAGAGCTAATAGGGCCAAGTGTGGTAGTTCAGGCCTATAATCCCAGCACTTTGGGAGGCCGAGGGGGGATGATCACTTGAGCCCAGGAGTTCAAGACCAGCCTGGGCAACATGACAAAAACCCATCTCTACAGAAAACAACAACAAAAAACAAAAACAAAAAACCCCACACACATAAAAATTAGACTGGTGTTGGCACACGCCTGTAATCTCAGCTACTCTGGAGGCTGAGGTGGGAGGATCACTTGAGTCTGGGAGGCCGAGGCTTCAGTGAGCCGAGATCGTGCCACTGCACTCCAGCCTGGGTGACAGGGCAAGATGACCCTGTCTCAAAAGAACAACAACAACAAAAAGGGCCTGGACTGCAACACAGGTCCCTGGACAAAGCCAGTGTTTTTCTTTTTCTTTTTTCTATTTAACAAACCATATATGAATACATATTTTTTTTTTTTTTTGAGACAGAGTCTCACTCTGTCACCAGGCGCCAGGCTGTAGTGCTGTAGGGCGACCTTGGCTCACTGCAACCTCCGCCACCCGGGTTCAAGCAATTCTCCTGCCTCAGCCTCCGAGTAGCTGGGACCACAGGCACGTGTTAAAAAGCCGTATTTACAGATGTAACCTGACTTACGATTGTTACATTGTTACACTGATGCCTAGTTTTGGCTTTATTTCAACCCTGGGAGCTAACAAGCATCCCTGATGTCGAACTCCATTTTTTTTCTCCCCAGACTCCGGTGTTTGCTGAAGAATCAACATCCTCTTTTTGTGACTTGGGGCTACAGGATTCCTCCTCATCCCTACACAACTGTGGGAAAAGGGGCCTCTAAGGATTTCTGAGGACCCCCATTCCTGCTGGGTTCCTGGCTGTGTCTCTGGCAACCGTGGCGCCCTCAAGACAGCCAGCTTCCGAGTGGATGTGGGGTTTGGGAGGTGCTCTTAACAGATCAGGATAAAACTCAGGGAAGCGCCTTCCACTTCACCGCAACATGCCAAGAAGCAATTCTTCTTTTATTTTTTATTATTATTTATTTTTATTTTTATTTTTTATTGGATTTTAGGTTTTGGAGTACATGCGAAGAACATGCAAGATTGTTGCATAGGTACACACGTGACAGTGGTTTGCTGCCTTCCTTAGAGGCGAGGTTTATTCACCCTTCCTGCCTGTGGGAACAACAGGAGAGGCTCTCGCTCTCGCTCTGGCTGTCGCTGAGGGGCCAGATCTGAGGACCTGCTCTGTGACTGAGCCACGTCGCCTTTCAATGAGCAGAGGGATTTGGCCACCTAAGCTTCAAGAAGTCCGGAGGCGCAGCACGGGACGCGCTGATAGGCGCGCGCTCGCGGGTGGCGTGCGTCCCGGGAGCCAGGGGGCGGGGCACCAGACCACGCCCCCACCTTATGATTGGTCCCTTCGAAACAGGCGGCGGCGAGAGGCTACTGACCCTGAGGTCCAGGCGGCAGCAGCGGCGGTTGGTCAGGGGCGTGCCGGTCACCGCACAGATTGAGCCGAGTTGTCTCTCCACTAGGAGAAGTGACCCTCCTGCGCCTAGTGAGTACTTCCCTGTTTGCCTTCTCTTTTCCTCGCGAAGTTTTACTCTCTGTCTTAGGGCCTTCGCGCCTCAGCCTGAGGGCTCCAGGAGCCCCCAGAGCTCTAAGGGCCCGAAGCGGAGGTTTGGTTGGGTCCCTGGGCTGCGGGAGCCAGGACGCCCTGCGATTGGCTGGCTGCGGCAGTCTCGTGCTCTGATTCGCCCTTGGGGCCGTCAGGGCGACGTTGCGCCTCCCTTCACCTGCCCACCCAGGTGCGGAGAGAGGGGCGACCGGTGTGCTAGGCGGTTGGGGCTGCAGGTGTGGACCAGCTCGCCCAGGGTGGGGGGATCCAGCCGCTACCCGCCCTGCTTTAAATCCAGGGAGATATCAGAGCCTGAAAGTACTGTAGGATCTGCAGGGGCGCCCTCATCCCTAAGCGCCTAGCACTTACAGGGGTCGCTTTTTTCCTGCTTATCACCCGCAGAAAGAATTGATGAAGTGTCTGGCCCTGCAAAGAGAAGGAGACAGTTATTCTTTCTCTCTAGCAAGGTTTATAGGCTCTTCCCTATTTTTCCTCCCTAGTCCATTGCAGGGTCTAGGACGCCCAGATGTGCGGAACTAGGGAATAGAACTGGAGACCCTTCGCTATGCCTTCCGCCCACCCCCCTCAGTTTGGAGGCCTGCGCGGGGAAGAGGCTGGCAAAGAAAGGGAAGGCTTGCAAAGTGCCTTGGAAGTCAGAGGAAAGTTTTCTTGGGCGTGCTCCTCTATGCAGTCACCCCTGGTTCCTTCCCTAATCGTTTCACGCCGAGGGACTGAATGTTGTAAATTTAGAGTGCTTTGTGGCATGGCGTGGTGGAATAGCTGATCCCGTCTTTGCTAAGCGAAGAGAAGTTTTTTTTGCAGACCCAGTGTAGGTCAGAGCCTGGGTTTTGCTTTGCTTGTATGGAGAGCAAAAAACATTTTGTGAATTGCTATCTGATCACCAGTCTTGGCACTTAAATGATTAGAAATTGGAATTCTCACCACCCCAGATTCCCTTTGGGAAGAGATTGGGATTGCTTCAAATGACAGAAGTGGAAACGCCAGTGATCTGGTGTAGATCCTAATACCTGTTGTCTGACTCATCTGTTTAAAAATGACATTAGAAACGAACTGTCATTGAACAGTAGGTGTTTGCTATTTTGACATTATTGAATTAGAAGTAGTATTGTGTGTGTGCGTGTGTGTGTCTGTGTGTGAGATACAGTTGCTAAGCATGGGGGGCTCTGAAATCAGACTTTATTGGATATGTGTGACCTTAGACAAATTATTTAATTGTTCTAAGCCTAAATTTCCTAGTCTGTGAAAGAAGGTTAATAATAGTTCCTGCTTTATTAATGAGAGGGTTGTTGTAAAGGATTAAATGAAATTCCATGCAACTAATTTAGCACAGTGCCTGACACATAGCTATTATTATTTCTCAGCTGTTTCACTTGGCTTAAACGTTTTGAGCTTGTCCCCAAAGGGTGGGGAGAGGTAGAAGGTGAAGGCAGTACCAGGGATGGGGATAATTATTGTTCATTGACTAAATTATACATGTAAAGCACTTAAAACAGTATCTGACACATTATAAACACGTGGATTATTGTTTATCAAACACATAATTACCTTGGCTATACGAGGTATTGTGTTTTTACTTATATTATTGTTATACCTTTTAGTAATCCTGCTGTAGTTCATGTTATCCCTATTTTGTAGAGGACAAAACTGAAGCTCAAAGAAGGGAAATGACTTAGTAGTGTTCATCGGAATTCAGTGCAGGGCCTTTTTTTTTCTGTGTTGCACACCTATATATTCCTAACATTAAGCAACTTCCCTGCACTGGGTCATCAGGGTGACTCAGATTAATTTCTGCTGTGCTATGGGTTTATTTTGAATACATTATGAATTTTAAAAGAATGAGAAATAACTTGTAATGGTAAATCAAAATGTGTGATAAAAGAATAGTGTCAACAAAATGCATGTATTAGTAAAAAAAAAAATAATAATGGTATTTTGGAGTTTTGATGTTTGGAGGAATGGCCAGTTCAGAAATGATGTTTCTAATTTATATACATGTATATTTTTTCTAATTTGCATTTTGATAAATAGAAATATGTTTGGAGAATTGGTCGTTTTAAAAGTAGTGTCTCCTAATTTATATTTTCTCATTTAATTTTTGTTTATTCACTATGTTTTTACTAAGCTACTCTTCCATTTTTTTTTCCTGTCTCAATTTAAGTTTGAAGATAATAGGAAAGGTGCAGTTATTTGGATAGTTAGATTACCGAAGAGCTTGATCTTGATGGTGAGGAAAGTAAGAAATTAAACTTAATGATATTATTATGTTTTATGTTCTTACAGCAACATGCATGTATTTTACTTGTTGCTTTTCATACTTTGATACTAGATATACCTCTCATGTACCTAGTGAACCATGCAATGAACACAGAATTTGAGAGAACAGGAAACTTGAGTCTGTTGGTCAATTTGTCTCACACTGAGTTTCTTCATTTTTAATTACAATTTAGTTGTCATAGAGAAATGCTCCAGAAGTAATGTTTATGAGATACAGGTCATAATTATAACTGTATTTCTTTAGTGTTTCTCCTATAAACTCAAAAAGTGTTTTCATTTGATTAGATTGTTGCAGAATAGGTAGGGTGTTTTGGTTAACAGAAGCTACCATGTATTTCATAAGTGTGTTACAAATTTCTAAAGAACTAGAATGTAATAAAATGTAGCAGATTGCTAAATGTAATGTCATCTTTGCCTCTGTAAGCATCCTAGGAATTTATAGTTTTATGACTATCAATCATGTGCTGGATATTGCTGAAGTGCTGACTCACAGACGGTTTATCATACAGCAAAAACGTTTCTCTAAGAAAGTATATTTGCTATGGTGAAGGGCCCACTTTATATAGATAGTTAGCTGTTGAAAAAAAATGTTTTATGTTCAGCATTTCTTCTTTTTTGCACACACACATAATTTAGAAAAGCACTGTGATCCCAGTAATATTACATACACCGTTCTACAGGTTGCTTTTGTTAACATGATAGACATCTTTTCATATCAGTGGATATAGCTCTGTCTTATCTTTGAAGTGGTTAAATGAGATCACTGTATGAATGTCCCAGACGTTTTTTCAGCAGTTCCCTGTTAATGGATAGTTAGATATTGTTCTTATATTTTTTATATTAGTGTTTATGTATGTTCCTGTACAGTCTTTTAATCTGTGATCTTTAAAGGCAAACTGATCTTAGGTTCATTAAAAAAATTGTATACAACAAAATTTTTGACAAACTAAAAATTGTATCTAATATAAAATTAAGTTATTCAGGTTGAATCTCTGCCAAACATTTCAAAAGGAAAATTTCAAATAAAATTAAAGATTCTCAACAAAGTCTCTGTATTTTTCCAAATGACATGTAATGTTTTATTAAACTGCAGAAATCTTATTTTTCTCATAAAACTCTTTATCTGCAATAGAAGCATCTGTCGCCTTTAGGAGTAATTCTAGTACTAACTTTAACACTGATTTCTATAGACATAGAAGAAATGAAGACTGTTAACCACCTTTTTTTAAAAAGTATGGAGTGCAGCAAAATAGAAGCATGTAATATTGCTATATTCCTAAATTGGGGACATGATTCAAGGGAGACTTTGGAGGAATAGAATCTGGACAGGTAAGGGTGAGTCTGGAAAAGAGGTGCAAGAAGAGCACTCCACATAGATGGATCAGCAAGTGCAAAGACCTAGAGGTGAAAGCACTGTGCTCAGAAGGATCTTTGAAAAGTTCATTGAAGCTGAAGTGTAAGAATCAAGAAACACGGCTGGTGGGGATCCTACAAACGTTTGTTAGCTTGGTTAAGAAGTTTGGGCTTTATCCTGAAAACATTGGAAAACCATTAAGTGTTTTAGGCAGGGTAGTAATACAATATCCTTGAATCAGAGTTGTGAAAAATCACTCTGGCTGCAGTTCATGAAGAACAGGGTTGCAAGGCTGGAGAAATGGTGACTGTTTAAGTAAACCCGGAGAAAGATGATGGCGGCTTGAACTAGAGGAGGAGCTGTAGGTATTGAGAAAATTTAGAGGTAGAAGCAACAAGATATGGTCACTGTTTTGGCTGCGGAAAGATACGGGCAGGTGGAGGTGTGAGAGAGGAGGGAATCAAGAATTCCTGGTAACTTAGTGAATGTTGATGGTGTTCCCTGTGATGGTAAACACAGATGGCCTCTGTAAACATAAACGAATGAATGGATGGATGAATGATAGATGTACAAAGGCAGGACCATTTGATGAGGAGGATGATAGTAAACATATAGCATTTGCTGTAGGTTTAACCTATCAGTTCTTTTTTTTCTTTTGCATGCTTTATATAGCTGGTGCTCTTTTCTTCATTACTACAACAGACTAGGCTCACTGCATTTTCTAATTGTATATTATATTTTGGATATATATTATTTCCTCTAGGTCAGATGTCCTGACATGCTTGGCAGATCTTCCTTTCTTCACTTAAGATATGTATTAGTGGTAGCCATGGGAGGTCCAGACACAGGTACCATGGAACTCGCTGGTAATACTCTTAACTCGTAACTGGATTGCTCTAAGAACTGATACCTAAACCATCTCAGCATGGCGTATAGAGGAGGAGGTGGGCACGGCCAGCCTCCCTCAGCTGCACTTCTCAGGTTAGCCCTGGAAGTCTTTACACATGTTGAACTTGTATCCCTAATATATGCATGGTATCTGATTTTTTCTACCCAAATATGAGAGGTATAGAAAGCCACATTTGCCAGCTCTTTCAGTGCCTGATTGAAAGAGGGCATAAGGTTATAATTGTCACTATGCTTATAGAAATTGGAAAGGCATCCATTACCTCACTAATGGCCTCAAAGTTACTTGCCTCTGAAAGTCATGTATAAGCAGTCTGACTGTCTTTCACAGTCTGCCATTGCTCAGCTACACATTTGTTTGGGAGAGAGTTATGATAATCCATTC